CTGATTCACCCGGCTCTTGTTGGTTCTTTGCTTTGGCTCGGCCGGTTCATCTTGTTCTCACTGACTACGATGATAGATGAGCGATTTCTAATGTCACACCAATACTCGGAAAGCATGCGACTTTGAGCCAACAAGAACACTACCCTAACTACAACGCTAAGGCCCTACCCCTTGGACTGATACCACAGCCAACTCGCCGGTGAGCGTTGGATTTGATTTAATTCTGTACCATTGGACTACAGGCGATCTTCCGATGATATTGGGCTGAAAGCCTTATCAAGAGGACGTATATACAGGTTTATGGGGAATGTATGTACTGTGCCACGAGTCGGGCGCTAGGGAGTGGGTGCAATATGATTATTGCAGGCGGTTGGTAAGACCGTCATTTGAGTTTCCATCTCCATAATGAAGAGGAATCGTGTATTTATAATTAAGCAGAGATTCATTTAACAGGCTGTCTGCTTGTAGCGATAGCCATATGCATATGCCAATTCACCCTCGTCAATAGGGCGATCACGTAACGGCCCCCCTTGGAACTCATAGTGGCCTGGCTTCAATTGCCTGGCTATCTGCGCATCTGTCATTCCTAGCACTATTTTTTGATAGTGATATCTTTCCTCGTCTGTGACTGTGAACCTTGATCCCTTCGACGTCTTTGAATCCGTCTTCTCTCCGCGTGCTGGATTGGTCGGTGTCGTGTTGGCCACGGCGACGCCGTTAGAACCGTCGTTACAATCACCATCAGCCTGGATCTTCTTTCCTTTTCACCGAGCAGATCTATTGCGGTTTAACCTGTTATTTTGTTTTTGTTCAGGGGTCTTGCTCTTGTTCTTCTTCGACCTGAATTTGGCCGCAAGCATTTTCAGGACTTTCAGGGCGACACTCAAATCAAAGAAATGTGGCGTAGGAGACGGAAGAGGAATGAAATAGGTTGACCCTCCTTTCTGCCTTGGATAATCAACTCAACTGAAACTCAGCATGTGGGGTGAACAAGGCTGAGCAGAAGGCGCTAGCTGAGAAAAACGAAGCTTCTACATCCGGATTGGACGAGAGAAGACCTGAGCGAAGACTATATCATATGACATAGTAGGTCTGAACCATCTGTACTATTGGCTTTAATTGCATATGGAATTGCCGCAGTCTGTCGTAGCCCTTAACAGTGCAGGGGGTGAAAGGATTGAAAACAGCCTATAAAGTTCCATCATCTTAGTAGCGCCGTGCTTTAAGGAACTTAAGGATTGATTGTTACCTATCATTTCACTATCCCGCCCTAGTTACTCTATTTTTATATGAAATGAGAGACGCTTTACCCCAGAGTCAGAGAATTTGAATCTTTAAACAGATGCTATAGGGACAAAGCTTATAGTAGAGGCATTCATTTATATTTTAATAAGAACTTAACTCTACAGCTAAATCACTGGTTTCTGTAAGGTGGTCCGCTGATTCGCCTCTCATCAGACCGCCGGAGCCATGCATACTCTTTGATTATCTCTCGAACCCTGATTGCCAACACATTAGTACATATTGAGAGATTTCCTGGACTAGCCCTGTCAAAAGGGTGGTATTGTATTTTCCAAGTATGACTAGAGCTGTACAAAGCAAATGTGTCTTATTAATGCAGCTGACACCTCGGTGTCACTCTCCAGACTTTCATCATCTCATTTCCGTCCACTCCACTTAGCGGACCGGACCGCTCGCGTTCTTCGAAGCCTTACAGTGAGATCGTCCCTTCATTCAACCGGTCTGGCTTACAAATGCCACCCACCACAGTCCTTCATGATTATTACGCGATTCTCGGGATTCCCCAGTCCGCGGACTCGGCTACCATCAGGTCGGCATACAAAAGATTGGCTTTGGCTAAGCATCCAGATCGACGAAGGAATGAGCCCAAAGCAACAGCCGAATTTCAACTAGTAAGCTTGACTGCTAGCTTTTCCTCTAAGAAGCCTGCACCGTCACTGACGCGGTTTTACTCAGCTCAACGCTGCGTATGAGCAGCTTCATGATGCCGATAAACGTCGAGAATATGACCGAATATATGAATCAACAATAGGTCCCCAAAAAATTAAGAATCAAAAAATAGCAGAACTGGACAGAGAGCTTCGACAACTCAAGGATGAGCGCAGGGGTTATGAAGTTTTGTTATACAACGCAAACAAGGACCTGATTAGATTGAGTGTGGAGAGAGATAGTCTAAAAGGAGAGAAAGAACGCATTATGAGAGAAAAGGCTACAGAGGAGTCATGGTGGCTCTATATGTGCTCCTTTATGCCGGCCAGAGCGGCAGAATTTACGCGACAGAAGCAACGACGGGAGAATATGATGATTAGCATTATTGGGAAACGTTGCGCGAAGGACTTGGAGATCGATCTCAAACTGAAGGATGTCCAATCTTTCAAGAAAAATATCCAATCTTTGTCCTCTAAGGAAATTACGATTGAAGCAGAAAGACGAAGGGTAGAGGAGAACTGGCGCGAAATGTGTTGCGAACAGGAAATTCTAAGAAGGTTCGCAGATTGGAGAAGGAAAAGAGAACAAGCGGATTGGGCTCAGCGATCAACCCAGGCAGATTCCGCAAGGAAATATGGCCATTTCCATGGATCTAATATTTGGGAATTTTAATACTTTCCTGATATTGCGTGTTCAAGTACGATGGAAGGGTGTCACATAGCATCAATTAGAGAAAATGTTTATGGCTCTCAGGTCTAGTGCTCTATAGCAATGAGCAGGACCATGAGTGTAGTCTACAAGTAAGTGTATTATTATAATCATATTCCATGCAACCTGATACTAAGCAGTCGAATTATCACAGTTGTGCACTTGGGGAGAATAATATGCCAGATTGCCGGCTATCTTGATACAGAAAGGAAATAATCTAGGAGATAATCAAATGCTTAGCTCATGCTCAGCCACCTAGCCATGGTTACCATGCATACCTGGAATGCATTTAAACAAGGCGCAGTGCCATACTTAATAATGTAGGACGTACATATCAAAAGATTTGCTTTCCATGTTTCTACAAGCTCACTAGACGCCCGCATAAGGATTCTCTCAATGATCTACGCGCTGAGGATACATATATCCAAACCGTACAATTCAGCACTGAAGATAGCCCAATCCATGCAGCGTGCCATCTTGCAATCTTCCGCAGTGTCCTCATCAGACCACATTTGTATAAGTGGCCAGGTGAGTCCTGATGGAGGGTTTATTTTTCTCATATCTTCAGTATAAATTCCGTATCCTGTATTCTGCGCTGGGTAGCTAGAAGGTGCTGGCTCTAATCGCGAGTGTGTGCCTATGTTGCCTCATGTAGCCAGGCACCAGGGGGAACCAACAGGCGCGAAGTGACAGGGGGAAATTAAGCCAAAGCCTAGCCTGTTCTGTACTGTAAATAATATAATCTGGGCGAACACCTCTGCTTTTGTTTACCTCAGATTGTTAAAATCTTTTCAGTTGTTCTTGTTAAGTTCAATATTTCCGATCTAATAACCGTTTCCCAATTTGTCAGGGTAAACAACGAAATAACGCATTCCGTCTTGACACTCACAAAGGATGATAAGTTAAAACTCGAGCAGATGGTCCGAAAATATAGGATTCATCTTCTAGGCGATGTATCGGCGAATGAGTGGCCAGAGGGCCGTTACGAGGCTTTCAAGGCAATGCAGGAGCTTGGAAGAAAACAATTTGCTACCTATGCCGTGGACTTTGCACTGGTGGGGCATGAGCCTTGGAAAATTGAGGTAAAGCGTCAAGCAGCTATTGGAAAGGGTAAACGCTGTCGGCAGCGCAATGCCAACATGGCGGAGTACCTGTGAGGCTTATATTCTTGCTCGTCTCACTGCAGAGGGGGTTTGGTAAGTAATGGTTGTACAGAGTTGAGAAGAAGCGAGATTTGACAACCCCATAGCAAGATCTGTAGGAAAGAGTCTGTATTGAAAACTTATTAAAAGATACCGCAAGGATTGGCGCTGGTAAAGCCAAGATGAAGCCTTGGTTCAAGAGCTCTTAGGACCACCAATCAGCAAGGAAGGCGACTCCCTGTGGATTGCACTTTGAGATTCGACTTGAGTCGCTCATCAATCAAATTACTACCTAGGACTCTCTACTCATGCGCTAAATTTTCTACAGCTTCAGCTCCTCTGTTGAGTAGTATCTTGACAACTGCCTCATGTCCATGAGCTGCCGCTCATGATAGTGCTGACACCCATGATATTGCTGACGGGCCATGTCCATCCACTGAATTAACTGCAGCGCCTCTGTCAAGTAGTATTTTCACAACTGCCTCATGCCCATT